CCATGGGATTTGAACTCTAGACCTGCCACTTGGAGAGGGTGATGACTAGACCACTACACTAAGTCGCCACACCTCTTCTGATTAGCTATATATTGTAAAACATTTTTAATATATACTGTATGATTTTGGGAACAACAGATTATCAAAAGAATATAATACCAACTAAATTGGCCAGCATTATGGCTAGTGCCAGCTAACTTTGTCGGTATTATGTTCTTTCAGAGATCCATTGTTCGGGATTTTGACCCAAAATCATACTGTATATATATATATATATATTAGTATTGGATGAATTTTCCATTAGATAAAACCAATTATATTATTGATTCAAGCTAAAATGCATTACAATTAAAAATAAATTACTTCTTTTCAATTAAATAAATATATTTTTTTTTAAATAAATATTTTCACTAACACTAATATTTTGCTTTTTTGGGTTTTAGCTCTTTTAAGCTTTTTTAAATAATAATTTCATATGAATATTTAAATAAATTTTTGCCAAAAATTTTTATCATATACAAGTACTATCTGCTATAGTTAATTTAAGTAATTTTTATAATAATTTGCTAAAAATTTATATTGTAAAATACAGTTATTAAATTTTAGCCAATTGGTATAACTTTATAATAAAAAAGATAATCTTTATCTATCCTTTTCTTTTTGTTGTGATAATTGATTAAACTATCTTCTGCTAATTAAAAATCAAGCTCTAATTATAAATTTTGGCATTTAATAATTTTTGGAATAACTAGACTGGAATAACTGGACTGAAATAGCTGGACTGGAATACTTCCAGTATATATTCCAGTAATTTTTTTAACTGGACTTATTCCAGTGACAGCATTGCTACTGAACTATCAAATTACTTGACAAAAACTTCTAGCATATAGGCAAGTATATATTTTGTTGCTTTAAATAACCCAGTTTTTTTTTTATTAAAAAACTAAACTTTTTAAATATATATATAAATAATTCTTACAAATTTATTTATAAATTAGAGTATATCATTCTTATTTGACCAATGAATACAACAATCAAAAAGAAATACCTGCTATTAAAATCAAATTTATTTTATAGCAATCTCTTCCACAAAACTTTAAAAATTTACGGTGCGGATGTTATAAGCTGATAAAAATAAATTAAATTAATATGAACGCACATAACGATTTGAATATAGAGAATTAGCTTACTCTTATTCCGTGCATTTTTTTAATATCATCCTCCAATAATTCGTTTACCATTCGATGTTGTTTTATTATTGGTAAGCCATTAAACTGCAAAGAAGAAATTTCTATTGCATACATTGAACCACAACCGCCTATTAAACTTTGTTAGCAAAAAATATATTCCATTAAAAATTCAAATAAAGAGATATTTATACCAGAGATGTCCTGAACATGTAATTTCGTAGGTTGAAACTTTTTAGATAACTTTTCATAAAGATATTTTTCACCTTCTGTTAAAGCTTCACTGTTATTATTATTGTCAGAGCGTAGTGAAAGAGTTGTCGTTAGCGTACGAAATAATAATGGGTTTGTGAATGAGTTTGGGCGTGATCTGAGTTGAAAGATACGAAAAGTTGATGGGAAGGACATTTTTTTTTAGGGAATTTAGATTACCAGATTATCATTTCTATTTCAATCGTTCAAAATATTGATGATCATGATTTACAGTCATAACGAATGAATTCTGGATACGTATAACGAACCAAAATTTTAAAATTTTATAATGGTTATGGTTTCTTAAGAAGCATAGTAATTTTCTATACAATGATTTACTGTATAGAATCGACGTTTGGGTGTGCGATATTGAATTAATTTGTTCGAGTACCGGTATTAATCAGCAATGTCTTCCTATGAGGTACAGTATAACCATATTAGTTTATTAAAATAATAACGATACGTAGTACTCGATTCTACATATATAACACTAGTACTAATCAATTTAGAAAAAATGAAAGCTTGAATACGTAAGCGTAAGACTCTGGGTACTATAAACAGTAATTTCATTTACACAAATTTTTATGTAGTTTATACAATCAATTTCGATTATATATCTGATATACTACTAGGAATATGGTAGATATTAAAAGAATGAATAAATATTGCTTTAATAAGATTATGCCTTTAATTGCTTCCACACTATTCCACAAACAATAAATCATGCGGCATCCATGAAAAAATCACAAAGAAAATAAATCTCTGCGAAAAAAAACCACCTTAACCGCTATTAAACACAATTACATGTCAACTTTATTAGTTCGGGTCTTTATAACCCAAACTATTTAATTATCGAGCAAAGGTCACTAGTCATCAATCTTCACCTTTGTACTTGACTTGCTTTACAGTGACTTTAACTCCCCTTTTAACTATCGGTGTCAAACTAGCATCTGCGTTTAACACGTTTCCTAGAGAATCTATAGGAGGATTCTTTGGATTTCAAAATGAAAAAATATTAACGAAATAAAAAAAAAAAAAAAAACTTTAGAATTTTATATCACTTAAACATCGAGTGAGACTTATGGCATTGATTAGCGATGTAAATTTCTTGTGTTACGATAGTCACGCCTTATAAGTCTTTACCTCAACATTAATATACGTACTGTGGGCTTTAAACAAGATTTAATTACGCGTTTCTCCTTTGCTGATATCGGTGAATGCTTGACAAGTGGCGAAGAAACTTGAACTAAATTCACATCATCCCATCGAACATGTTTTTCCACGGAATTTTCAGCTTTTTCCTCAAAATTTATGGTTTCTGTTTCTTTTCCACTGCGTTGTTTTAACACCGGTATGTGCGAGTTAGCTTTTTTTCGTGATTCAGTCGCGTTTGTTCTTTTTTTTTGTTTTTGTTGGAGTTTTGTAGTAGGACTTGGTGGCTTGGGGATATTTTTGCGTACTACTACAACGTCAAGTTCGCATCTATATTCCTTATTACGGTCTGTATTTTGCTTAGTTATCTTTCCTAGATCTAAATCCTCTTCATTCTGAGGAATGTTGTTACTACGTAATATCATTTTTTTTTTTTGGCGTACTTGAATCAGTAGCCGCTTTTTTTCCTCTAAGCTCAGGGAACTTACTTCCTAATGTAAAATAATAAATTAGAGAGGAATTTTGCATACTGAATTCTTAAACATACATACTTTTAACATCGATGCAAGCATGGGTGTTAATATTTTCAAGGATGACGCAACTCGCAAAACACCGTAATTATAAAAATAGAAAATATGGAATTGTGAAAGAGCCAATCACAGTCGTAAATTCAGTTTATAATATTCCAGTATTCTCATGAATATATCATATAAACTTAAAAATATTGTTAAAAGATTTTTAATATACTGTATATATATTAAGAATAAAATCGATATTGCAGTATTGTGAATTTATACTGTATAGCGAATGTATCAATAGTATGAATTGATGTTGGTTTCAATTATTTTTTTCGATAAATTTTAAAGTGGCAGAGCAAATTGTAGACGTTACTTCCGAGCGTGCAAGGCCGGAGAAATTCATAGCGAATCGCGTCTTTTTGCCTTTTTTTTTTTTTGTGTAAACAAATATATGTACGAATCACGTGATTGAGAATATTAGAATTTTAATAAACCGAAATCTCAATTTTAAAATTAATCCGCAAATGGTTTCGTGAATTTCAACTATATAGGTATATATATACACCCCAATTTAATCATGCCTCCAGTACAGCCTCCTGATGATCAGCCAACTAAGTCAAAGTCCGCACTGGACATTGTGGTTAATCAATTAGTTAGAGCATCTGTGGGAGGTAATATTCCGCCATCACTTAGTGATGACGATTTGGATAAGTATGTAGCCGACTTAATAATGAAAGAGGCTTCTGCCAAAAATAACTTATTCAATAAGGAAGGACTTAGAGCGTATTTACCTGATACTGGAACGTAAGTAAAATTATACCCAACGTCCTCACTATTAAGAATATTTCTGATTAATTTGCTTATTTACCTTTATAGGCCACCTTGTAATCTTCCGAAAACAAATAAACGATTCTTATTCAACGTAATAAAAAGTGTAGATGGTCATAATCAGGCCTTGATCAAAAAATCTGAAGAAGATGCTGCTGCTGCTCGTATGCGTAATCTAAGACGCTTAGAACGAATGCACCGGCACCGTTCAAGCAAAAGGAGACATAGAGATAGGGATAGGAGCAGAAGTAGCCGAAGGAGATCACGGAGAGATAAATCAAGGTATGACGACCATTTTAGTAGTAGTAGATACAGTGATTCTGACTACAGTGAAAAAGAAATTTATAGGTCAAGGTAAAAATTGTTGGTTTTGTAATTATTATTATTATTATTTTTCGTACATTTATAAGTTATTAATAACAACATATATATATTATTTCTAATTAGGAGAAGAAAACGAAGAAGTAGACATAGGGACTATGAATATAGACGATCTAGAAGCCCAAGCTCTAGTTCAAGTTCGAGTTCTAGCTCAAGTTCGAGTCGTAGTTCAAGTAGTTCTAGGAAAGAAAGTAAACATGATGTGAATAACCACGATGTAAATAACCATGATGTGAATAATCATGATGTGAATAATCATGATGAGGATTACTGTGAGATGAGTAACAGTGATATGTCAATTTCACCAATATCAATGTCTCCAAAGATTAATGTTTGCTCCGCATCAGAAGTAAGTAAAAGTACTCCGGTTATTAAACGTAAAGGTCGTGGTGAAGTTAGTGATGGATCGAAAATGGATAAATACTTTGAAAAAGATTATGATCCCATGTACGATTTTGAAAAATTTGCTTGGCTTAATTACGTTGCTGTCAATAAAAAAGTATCAACCAAAGTTGAAGACTTACCACTTATTACCGAAGAAGAAATTGAAACTATTGAAAAACTTGAAAAGAAAAAGAAAAAGAAGAAACATCATAAAGAAAAATCAAAGAAACATCGTAAATCTAGAAAATCAAAAAAGAAGCGCAGGCGAGACTCTGATTCTGAGTTATCATCAGATTCTGATAGTGATATGGACTCTGATACAAAACATAAGAAAACTAAAGTTGTACGTGAATGGGATATGCCAAAATTAAACGGCTGTTGGGATCTTCAAAGTTTAAAAACCAATGAAGAGGTTACTTATAATGGTGTGCGTGAATGGGATAAACCCAAGTTAGCATCCGGCTCTTGGGATCCTGAAAATATAAAATCTAAAGATGATGAAAAAAAATTAGTTTATGATGGTGTGCGTGAATGGGACAAACCCAAATTGGCATCGGGTTCTTGGGATCCTGAAGACAGCAGTGATTAGGATAAACCAAATTTTGCATCTGGTTACTAAATTCTTAAATATGGATTATCTTTTGTTTTCTCACACATGTATTGTTAATTATTATTATTTCGAGTCACCAATTCAAAAATGTATTTTTGACATTAAGTTGCACTAAACTATAAGATTTTTGGAAATTTTTCGAATTATTGATGATTTGAAATAAAAAATTATTTTAAAAGATTTGATCTCTTCGTTTTTTTCTTTTTATTAAATTATAAAGCATAATTAAAAAATAAACAAATTCTTACCTCCTGATGAAGCCATAAAGAAATTACAAAAGATATTATATAAATCATAAGATTATTTGATTACGATCAATTTGCCTAATTCAGTACAGTAGCCTATTTTTCACTAAAATTTCACAGAAATTCCTGAAAATTTTATCAGGATTACCAAAAAAATTTTAAAGTTTTGTAAAATCAATAAATATATTTAAAAAAAACTAAATATTATTTATAAGCTTATACTGTATATAGCTACTATTTAATTTCACAACCACTTTTGATATAATTTTAATCTTGATATAGTTACTATAAATTTGATCTGTATATAATAACCAAATTTAATACTGTATACAAAAGTAATCAAATATACTGTAGTATACAGTATTGTATAAATTGGTTAAATTTGCTTAATAGTAATTATAAAAACCAAATTGCTTAGTTAATTATAAAAAAACCAAATTGTTTAGTTAATTATAAAAAACCAAATTACTTAGTTAATTATAAAATCATATACTTTAATTCCCTACAATATTTTAAAATAATTTCAAAAAAAAATTTAACCACTAAGATATTTTATTTTATAAAAAATTTTTTTATTTATTGTTTTTATAATCAAGAATTAGTATTTTAAAATTAATCAAATTTATTGTCAAAACTAAATTGTTTACAATGTATAAATATCTCAAAAATTTTAAAAAATAGATTTATATCATAAATATTAATTGAATAAAGCTTTACAAAAAAAATTTTTAATATTCTTTAAAGATATACTATCAGAAATACCAAATCAAAAAACTATTAACAATTTTATCAGCCTATAGCGATAGAATCAATTATCTAAGTAGAGATGCAAGCTTGGTACCAACCGGTTAACGGCCCACAACGGCTAAGCCAAGCTATTTTTTGAACCAAGCCATTTTGTGGCTGGCCAGAATAAAACCGAGCTAAGGCGCGACAATAACTTATATTGTAAAAATCCGTTCCATTCATAGAAAAAAGTATTTTGCAGATCAGTATACTATAGGTGAGCAAAACAGTATAGTACAGGCCGATTTTTAAATCTATACTATTGCAGATCCGTATAGTATATTTTTAAAAATTGGCCTGTACTATACTGATCTGCTCACCCATAGAAAATGTACTCAAAATTCCGTAAGTTTATACCCAATTTTAACACAATCCACAAGCATGATTCACCTTTACAAAAATGCTACGTGTCGGTATAATATGCGCTGCTCATATATCTCGTATTATGAATTTTGTTGAATATTATTTTGCAATCACTCAGTAGCTGACTAATATATACGAGTCACTCTCGATATAGTGAAGATCCGATATGAGTTACAGTATATTGAAATTCAGTTATATATAATAATATTTTCTTGATATAAGTTATAGTGAAGATTTTAATTCCTTCACTATAATAAATAGTATTGGATGTGTAGCATCCAATAACAGTTTTATTTGGCAGAAGAAAATGAGAATAACGTTGATCCGAAGAATCACGGGATGAACATTTTGGATGACAAATAAAAGAAGTATCTGGCTTTGAATTTAATATGCTTGACAACCTGAGCCCCTTTGGGGCCCAGGTTAGCACATTAAATTCAAAGCCAGATACTCTGTTATTGGGATGTGGTGCATCCAATAATGGATTTCTTTTTCTTTATAACAAATAAATCTCATGAGCTTAATCGAGTCTATTTGGCGTATAACACCTGTTATACGACCTACATTTACTATTAAAAAGAAAAATAAAGAGGGTTACTTATATATATATATACTCTCAACTTATTATTTGTGATACATCTATTTTAGTACTGAATATTGTTGATAATTCATTATTTAATAATTCATCTAATGTCGTGTTGTCTCGATGATAAAACCATTTTTTGTGCACAAGATCGTAGTCGTATCGTTTTGGACCACTAATATATTCGAATAGCCTAATTTAAAAATAAAATAACCGATGAAAAATAGGTAAAAAAAAAAAAAACGTAACTAACCTTATCGGAGAAGACAACCAAATTTGTTTATTGGGAGGCTGTTTGTTAATTACATAAGTTCCTTTTGATCCACATTTAAGAGTTAGAACACCACTCTAGTGCCATATATTAAATAGAAATTGATAAAAAAATTAATCCGGTAGAAGGATGTTCACCGAGAAAATGATATCCTCAAACAAATATTAAAGGACAATTTAACGAACCATTTTGCATTGACTCACCGAATATTCAACATCAAACCCATCAAAATCTGATTCATCATTTAAGTTTTCAAGGAATTCCAATAAGTGTTCCATCGTTGCATCTGATATTTGATGATAATTTGAATCAGATAAATCACTGTTCATTGCGATAGGGAAAAACATTATTAATCTTTTCAGTTAATATAAACAGATGATTTTATAATAAGAATAAAAATTGAACCTGATAGTAAAATGAAAGTTCGAATTTAAATTTTCTGAAGTTGAATTATAGTTGTTAAGCAAAACTTTTCTTGGATGACGAAAAAAGAAACCTAAAACTGGAGAAAGACGACTGACGAAACCCTCCGACGAAAGGACGAAACCTCTGCGAAAGGCAAACCCCCCGGTAAAAGACGGGACCCCTGACGAGAGATGAAACCCCTGACGAAAGACAGAACCTCTGGTGAAAGAAACCCTAAGAAAGATAGAAGTAGCTGATAGACGAAACCATTTTTCCATGCTGATACAAGTTCAAGATCTTTAGAACAGTAATAACGATAATCAATCCAAATAATTTAAATAATTTGATTGGTCAATCAAATCAGTCAACCACTCGAAAATATTTCGGAATCGATTTTAAGTAGAAAGGCTGTTTTATCTTTATTTATAACTTATATGATTACATGCACCGTAAACTGCATATAAAAGAAATCATATTTTTCATTTATAATGGGCAGCCTAGATATTCACACCCGGGTCTACGTAGTAATGGGGTTTTAGTCTGCATTTTAAAATAAGCTATTCCCCATTTAATCGATTGTAATAAACATACCTCGGTGTTTCCAGCCTGCACAATGCAGGCCGGCCGTAAATATGAACATGTGATAATGATATTCACGGTTTCTTCGGGAAGGAGGGTTGGATCGCGAATTTTGGTCTACGGCGCTTAATTGGCATTGAATCTACTGGTAATGGATTTGTATTTGTGGGATATTGTCGGCTTGCATATTTATAAAAACCAATTAATTAATAGAGCAGAAGAAACCGATGAATCAGCAAAAGATTAGTGATACAAGATTAATTTCATAATCGCTTAGAATTCACCACAAAGGCGTGTAATTACGAAATTGACGATCATTAATAATTTTAGTGATTTTTTTACAGGTGAAATAAGTGATCATCAATTTCGCAATTACATGCCTTTGTGGTGAAATTCCCACGCTTCTGTATTTGTAGAATTGATTCTCCTGCATCACTAGCTGGGGCGACCTCACAAAGTTCGCTAGCTGCTGCCGTAATGATGTAGCGGCTTATATCATGTGTCTCAAACTTTGAGAAGCCCATTCTTCCAAGTTGAAATCGATTAAATCATCAAAATACAGATAGCCTATACCAGAATTCATAACAAGTAAAGTCGTAGCCCGCTCATTAAACAAAATGCATGTATGATAATTCTGGTATTATTTCTTAATATGTATTTATTAAAATTTTTTAAAATACCTCCTATGATGGCTCTGAATGATTTAGGTCTAGAATTTTAAGCACTATAAAAGATTAAAACTTCCAATGCATAGGCAGACGCAAAACGTGTTCGGACTACATTTGTTCTAAAAAAAATTGATTATAAAAATGTTTATTGGGTAATAAAATAAAACACTATTGTGCAATTAGGTAATTTGAGTATTGACCAGAAGTATTTACTATTGTAAAATTATATAGATCACACATCTTTCCATTAAAAGATGGGTTAGACGCAGGGACGCTGATTTTTTTTTTAGATTATAAGTAAATTTATTTTTGGATAACGCAAAAATTTTGGGAATTTTTGGATTTAGCCGGCATTAAGAAATTAAATTTCATAATTCTGGCCACGTCATGTGATTCACGTGACTTTGAATTATTGCCCAAAATTTCACCATTCCAAAATTCAGATCAATAGAAATTAATAGACAACGTGATCTGTAACCAATCAAACCGCTAAAATCATGCATAAAATTTTTTAAAATTTTGGTTTTTTATGGATATTCCTCAAAATTATGGATTTTCCCAAAAAATTATGGAAAATTATGGATCCATAATTTTCAGCGTCCCTGGTTAGACATTATCTATATGGCTTTACAATAAGCATTGTCAAAAAAAAAAATAGTAAATGATGCACTTTATACTTCCAGTTATTATTCAAATACAATGCGCCGCAACTTGCAACGTTACATATAAAAAAATTAAACAAAGGTATTCTTTGTAAGAAAATATTATTAACAACATGAGATTTACTTCTGTAACACAAGTAGCTATGTTTATTATTCTTAGCCAAGAGTCTGGCTCCTTACATGATAAAGGAGCCCGTGTTGACTGCAAATATCCTAGAGACACACGCAAGGTGTTTCTTCTGAATGTGCAGTAACCGTCCACTTCAAAATATGCACGAGGTATACTTTTTTTAACTTCATAGTAACTAGGTGCATCTCGGCCTCCTGGTAACCGTCCGCCTACTAAACAGTGTTTTCTTGGCAGTAGGGAGAACTTGTGATCTTTTGCAAAATTTGTATGTGCACTTAAATACATAA